TCAGGGAAGACACCACGCTAATAGAGAAGGGCATTACATTGAATTCCGAAGAATCGGTGCAGCTGGTGGCACAGAAATTCTTCCCGCCTGATAATTGCGAGATGGATGATGACATCCATCAAAAAATGAGAAAAACGGTTGAGGAAATGACCAGCAGTTTGCAGGGAAGTAGCGCTGATGAAGTGCCAATCACAATGGCGGAGCTCATCAGTACTGCACGAAGCTTCAACCCGAGGAAGGCCCCGGGAGCTGACGGACTCACTGCGGATATCTGCTTCGCAGCTATCAAGGCGAACCCGGAGGTTCCCTTGGCCATCTTCAACAAATGCCTCGAAGTGGGATGCTTCCCTGATCTATGGAAGGAAGCCACGATAGTTGTACTGAGGAAGCCAGGAAAGGAGGACTACGCGGCCGCCAAATCCTACCGTCCAATAGGCCTCCTGCCAGTCATGGGGAAGATACTCGAAAAGGTAGTAATAAACAGAATAAGACATAGCCTACTCCCCAGGATGAGCAGGACACAATACGGATTCATGCCAGGAAAAAGCACGGAGGATGCCCTCTACGATATCCTTACGAAAGCGAGAAACCACATCGGAAACAAAGAAATAGTGTTGATGGTGTCGCTAGATATCGAGGGGCTTTCGACAACGCATGGTGGCCGGCGATCAAGTACCAACTGGCAAAGAAGGAGTGTCCCAAGCAACTTAGGCTAGTAGTGGAAGACTACTTCAAAGGCAGGAAGGTGGTGGTCCGCTACGCAAACAGAGAAAATGTGAGGCAACCTGAAAAGGGATGCATTCAGGGCTCGATTAGCGGCCCCACCTTCTGGAACATCTTGCTCGAACCACTACTGGTCGAACTAGAAGAAGATGGGACATACGCACAGGCTCTCGCAGACGATGTTGTGCTGATGTTCAGCGGAACGGACACGCACTCCATCGAAAACCGAGCAAACGTTGCCCTCGAGTATGTGAGGAAATGGGGTATCGAGAACAAGCTCAACTTCGCGCCACAAAAAATCAAAGCAATGGTACTGACGCGAAGGTTGAAGTACGATACCCCAAGAATAAGAATGAATGGACAGGATATAGTATTAGAAAAGGAAATAAAACTACTAGGGTTGACTATAGACGAAGGGCTAACGTTTAACAAGCATGTGCAAAATGTCACGAGAAAAGCGGCGGATATTCATAAAAAAGTAGCTGCGAGTAAAGCGAAGCTGGAATGGGGAATGACGGGAGACATGGTACACCAGGTATACCAAGCCGTCATAGAGCCGATAGTTACATACGCGTCGGCAGCCTGGGCACCGACAGTCAACAAACTGTGCACGAAGAAAAAACTGGAGACGGTGCAGAGGGCTTTCGCACAAAAAATAGCGAAGACGTACAGGACGGCATCGCTAAATTCCGCGACGCTATTGGCGGGAATACTGCCCCTCGACCTCAGGGTGGAAGAAGCCGCCGCGATGTTTGAGGCCAGAAGGGGTCGTCTCCGTTCATACGCGAAGGAGACCGGATTGAGCGAGCCGTACCTGCGTTAGAACAACCCCATCCCGCGGAAAAACCGGAGATAAGCTTCGCCATCACCAATGACCCTGGCCAAATAGAAAATGACAACACAACGGCAATTGACACGGACGGGAGCAAGACGGAGAAAGGAGTAGGAGCCGCCTGGTCCAAATGGGAGAACGGAAGGGAAAAGAAGTAGAAGAAAATAAAGATGGCCCCTTACTGCACCGTATACCAAGCAGAGCTGGCAGCTCTCGTTGGTGCAGTAAGGGAGGCGATGATAGCGGGTACTGACGTGAACATCTGCAGCGACTCGCGGTCTTCGCTCGAGGCGATTGCGGGCGGACGCTCTCGAAACCCCCGAGTAGTCGAGATCAGCGGATCTCGACTACTTCCTACTGCGGAAGGAAAGAGGAGATTGTGAATGTGAGAGTGGGGTGGAACAATCCATCCCCCACCTACTTATGGAGTGCCCCATTTTTGCCTCCTCCAGATGCGACCTGGAACAGATGACAGGCATGTCGCTTAGTCTCCAGGGACTGCCCGACATGCTAGCCTGTAACAGATCGCACCTGGAGGATTTTTGCCTAAAAATTACTAAAAGACCAGCCAGATTCAATAAGAGTAAAGCCGGGGCGGGGACCGCGAGACGGCCGGCGCCCACTTGCTAATGGGTATTATGAGGATACTCACGGAGAAGTGAAAGCCGCCCGCCTCGCGGGCCACGTGTCTAGATAGGAATGTGTAAATAATTTAAGGAAATAATGTTAAGTAGGCTAATAAGTAAGAAAGACTGTGATATTACCTGTGTAAAAACCTAATAAAAGTTGAAGTTGTGTTGCCAATTATTTAGAGGATGGATGAAAGAAAAGAAGGAAGTGTAGCTTAGACAACGCCCCCGGCGATAAAGTAGCCGGGGAAGGTAGGCCTATTAGGTGCAATAAAAAAATATAAAAAAAAACCTAACCAAACTAACCTAACCGAGTCGCGCGCCCCCCGCCGAAGCGTAAACATTAAAAACGGTCCGCTCCGAAGTTTAAAAATCAGAAAAATAGGTTTTTTACGCAATATTAAAAAGTGCTATACACCATCGTATTCAGTTCAGTGCCGCGATTCGTTCGACATAAAATTCGTTGTGAAAAGTGGAAAATTGGGGAAATTTTAGAACAAAAAGTCATAATTTAGGTTATTTTTATCAAACTTTTTTCGGTTTTTTGCGTGCGGCGCCAGTTTTAGATCGGCAACATACAGTTTTTACTACATCAAAATAGACGCTTGGATTTTTATATGTAAGATTTTTTGACTTATTGATATTTTTCACTCAAAACACGTGGCGACCACGTGGTGGCCAACTTTTGAACCGGCAACACCACCGAGCCGTGTTATACCTCATTAGATCGGCCGGCATTCAGAAACTATATCGGACAATCCTGAAAAACCGACTGTTCAGGAAAAAAGAGGTATTTACAGAAAGTGGTCACTCTACCTTAACTTTGCTGCCCTGTAGCTCGAAAACAGTATCGATAACATAACATATTTATTACATCAACAAGTAGCTCAGCAATAGGAGAATCACTCTGCAAAATTTCAGATTTTTATCTTTTAAAATAAAAATTTCCGAGACGAAAACAAAAGGGGCAAACTAACATCTTACGCTAAAAAAACCAAACTTCCGGAGGCTCCAGCCACTATCCAGAAGACAACTACTGAAGATTAATATACCATTAGATAGATAGATTTCATAGTACAATAGTATGTGTATAAAATATTAACATAAATAAATTTCATTCTTTAAATAACGTTTATAACAAAAATATTTCTATTCAAAATTGTAAAATTTCACTTGAATAACACTAATAAAAGGTACTAGTGGCCCTTATCGATAAGTATATATATACCACTAGATAGAACTCATTCTGTAGTACAATAGTATGTGTATAAAATATTAATAAAATTAAATTTCATTATTTAAATAACTTTTCTAACAAAAATATTTTTGAACAAAATTGTAAAATTTCACTTAAAAACACTAATTAAGGGTATTATTGGCCCTTATTTATTAGTTATATATTTACTATTAGATAGAACTCATTTCGTAGCACAATATTCTTTGGATAAAAAATTAAATTTCAATCTTTAAATAACGTTTATAACAAAAATATTTTTGATCAAAATTGTAAATTTTTTTTTTTTTTTAAAGACAATTCACACCAATTGACCGAGTCCCATGCTAAGCTGGTGAAGCTTGTGTTATGGGTACTAGGCAACGGATATACATACATATTATAGATAGATAGACATATAAATACATATTTAAACACCCAAGACCTAAGCACAACACCAAATGCTCAGCACATCGATGTTCGTCTCAGCCGGGGATCGAACCCGGGACCCTTGGATTCGCAGTCATGGGTACTAACCACTAGACCAATGAGTCGTCAATTTCATTTAAATAACGCTAATAAAGGGTATTATTGACCCTTATTAATAAGATATATATATATACTATAAGCAGAAATCGCAGTAGGTGGTTTCGATCCCCACCCGCCTTCTATAAAAGCAACGCCTCAGTGCGCGACGGGCTCTGTTTTGGCTCGGGCTCGTTAAGAAAGGTGGTTGGTTTCGAGGCCGCTTACTGTGAGTTCCTTCTGTTGTTTTTATTTGATGGTTTTGGTTTGTGTAATTATTTTAAGGTTAACGGTTGTGTTTTTAAAATACTCGTGTCGTTTTAGTTGTGTAAGATTAATTTTAAGGTAGATTTAGTGTTATTCAGAATATACAGTGTTTGTTCCTTAAATAAAGTTAATTTTAGTTAAAACACTTTTTTAGATTATTTCGAATTGTTTTTTTTTTATTTGACTATTACTTCTGGTTGCTAAAATCAGAAGTGGGATAGGATTTCGCTCATAAATAAGCCTTGTAAACAACCGTTAATTTTAGAATAAGTTGCCACGTGCTTCCCGTGAACGGTCAATTAGGACGATGCCGCCTCGCTCTGATATTAAGCGTAGCCGTCGAAAGCGGTCTGTGCGAAACAATAGGCAGTGTTCAAGTAATGATGGAGTGTGTTCAAATTCGCGTCGCAGCAGGACTCGTTCTCATTCGCGTCACCATAGATCGCGCTCACGTTCGCATAGCGATAGGTCACGTACGCATCGCGATAGGTCACGTTCGCATCGCGATAGGTCACGTTCGCATCGCGATAGGTCACGTACGCATCGCGATAGGTCACGTTCGCATCGCGATAGGTTGCGTTCGCATTCGCGCCATGAAAGGTCACGCTCATATTCGCGTTGTCTCCTTTCGTGCAATCATAGATCGCGCTCGCGTCACGATATAACTCGTTCGGGCTGTGATCGCTCTCTTTCTGGTGACAAATATTCACGCGACAGGTCGAGGTCTCGCTCAGTTGGTTTACGTCGTGGAACTAGTAAAACTCGATCCTACCCTCTAGATGCCTCTGTAAAAGAAGCTTTAGGGTCAATAATGTCGCGATTGACGGTTATTGAGGAGAATACGGCTAGTGGTTCGCACGTGCCGTCGTCCGTCCGTTGTAGCACACCTCCAATTGATAAAAATAACGTTTCCGCTACTAAAGCATTCGTTGATGCTTTAGGTATGTTAACGAGACCTAAACCTAACAACTATTATGTATCTAATTTTGATCCGGCTGTTAATAACTTTGGGGTGTGGTGCGACGAAGTGGAGCGGGCTATACGGGCGAACCATTGGGACGACCATGAGTGCTTCTCTCGTGTGGCTAATTGCCTGAGAGGTGACGCAAAAGCCTGGTTAAACGAGTGGGCTACTAACGAGCGTTCATGGTCAAATTTCGTTAAAGAGTTTAGGTCCTTGTGTCCGCAAAAGGTGAACGCGCAAATTCTCCACGAAGTTATTAACTCGACGTCAGAAAAGTTTCTGTCATACGCGGAATACGCGCGTCGTTCGTTGTTGCGTTTGCGCCTCGTAAAAGGATTAAGCGAAGAACTTATGGTCCAAATTGTGATTTTTGGTATTAGTGATGTACAAGTGCGCGCCGCAGCAACTAACGCCGACCTAACGACAGAAAATCTGGTCTCGTTTTTAGCCACGTATGTTAAGTCTACCCGCAAATTCGATAATCGCAACCCTGATAGGCCGAAATCGTTCAATTCTAGTGCAGCTAAGAAGCGGATTTTGGTAGTTCGAGTAAACCAGAAAATAGATGTTTTATCTGTGGCGAAAGGGGTCATTTTAGAGATAAGTGCCCTAAGAAGCGAAATGTACCTGAAAAGACTGATGATAGGCCGCTTTGTTCCTTTTGTAAGAAACGTGGACACAAAGAAAGTGATTGCTTTGCGAAAGCTCGATCTGCGGTTCAGAGCGGTAATAATGGTAACCAGCGAAGAGTCAATTTATGCAACGAGCTTTTAGCCGCAAAGAACAACAACGACATTAGTACAGCCGTAATCCAGGGTATACCCGTCGACATTTTGATAGACAGTGGCGCACTCAATGTTTCTTTGATATCATCTGCGGTAGTAAACTACTTTTCTGGTCCACGCAGACCGATTAACTGTTCTCTGAAGGGAATAGGTGACAAAGGGTTTGTCGATCACGAATATATTACTTTGACTGTCGAACTACGTAATATCGCACTTGAAGTTGATTTTCTCATTGTACCCGCGTCGTATATGAATACGCCGATCATAATAGGGACAGACGTTCTCAATCGTGATGGCGTCACGTTTGTTCGCACGAAACATGAGCAATTCCTAACTCACACACCAGATAGGGTACTAAGAGTGAATGCTGTAAATGCTAGCGAGTTCGACAGCATAAATACGCCTCTCGAAGGTGCGGAGCTTGCCAAGTTGATGGCTGTCGTAAAACAATTCTCCCCGTTTTTAATATCCGGTACAGCAACTACGACGGTGACTACGGGTAAAATGCACATCAGCTTGACAAGCGACGTACCTGTCGCATACCATCCGTATCGTCTGTCATATCCTGAGAAACTTAAAGTTCGAGAGATTTGTCAGGATCTGTTGGATAAAAAGATCATCCGAGAGTCTGATTCTGAGTACGCAAGCCCGATCATTTAGGTCAAAAAGAAAGACGGTTCAGACCAAATGTGCGTTGACTTTCGAGCACTGAACCGAATCACTGTCAAGGATAGGTATCCTCAACCATTGATTGATGACCACATTGATCGGCTTGGGGGCTCTAGATTCTTCTCATCATTAGATATGGCATCAGGGTTCCATCAGATCCCAATCGACGAGAGCTCAATCCATAAAACTGGTTTCGTTACTCCCAAGGCTCATTACGAGTATCTTAAAATGCCGTATGGACTATGTAATTCTCCCACAGTTTACCAGCGCATTATTAATAACACTTTACGTAAATTTATAGAGGCTGGTAATGTGCTTGTGTACATTGACGACGTTCTTATTGTAAGCATGTCTATTGACGACGGTATTTCCCTATTACGCGATGTCTTGAAGACTTTGACAGAAGCTGGATTCTCTGTTAATTTACGAAAGTGTTCTTTCCTCACAACTAAAATAGAGTACTTGGGTCGTGATATCAGTCATGGTCAGGTTAGGCCGAGTCTGCATAAAATTGAAGCGTTGGTTAATTCACCTACTCCAACTAACGTCAAGCAGGTACGTCAATTTTTAGGTTTAGCTGGATACTTCCGGCGTTATATTGAAGGCTACGCGACAAAAACCGCATGTATATCGCATCTCACTAAGAAAGACGTCAAATTTAAATGGGGACCCGAACAAGATCAAGTCCGACAAGAGCTCATAAAGCAATTAACCAGCGAGCCTATACTTGCAATTTTTGACCCGAGCCTTCCCACTGAACTACACACCGACGCTAGCAGTGCAGGATATGGTGCTGTGCTCATGCAGGCCCACACGGATGGTAATGAACGAGTAGTAGCCTATTTTAGTAGGGTCACCCAGGGTGCGGAGCCCAAGTACCATTCATATGAATTAGAAACGTTGGCGGTCGTCAAAGCTCTGCAACATTTTCGGCATTACCTGGTTGGTATAAGTTTTAAGTAAGAAGGATCTTCTTCCACGGGTTGCACGCTGGTGGATTTATATGCAGGACTTTAATTTTGAAATTCAATATCGTAAAGGCACCATGATGGGTCATGCGGATTACTTGAGTAGGAATCCACCAGCGTTGCAAGTCAATAACATAGAACGGCCCTTGAACTGGGCGCAGATGGCCCAATCAGCCGACTCCGAGACCGCCAATCTCATACGTAAGCTCGGAGAAGGTAATTTAGATCCTAGACGATACGTATGTCAAAACGATGTGCTCTATTATCGTTATTCACCCGTTGGTGAGGAGCCGCGTTTACTTTGTTATGTACCCAAGGGTCACAGGCTTAGCTTACTGAGGGTATTCCATGACGAGCATGAGCATATCGTGGTTGACAAGACTTATGACCTAATTTTAAAACACTTTTGGTTTCCCGGTTTAAAGCAATTTGTTCGTAAATATACGTCCCATTGTTTGATTTGCATTTCTAAAAAACGCGTCCCCAGAGCCCCACGTCAACCCATTACATCATGGGAAAAGTCGGATGTTCCGTTTAACACCATTCATGTTGATGCGTTGGGACCGTTGCCCGAGTCCAATGGATACAAGTTTGTGCTAATATTGGTTGACTCATTTACTAAATTTTGTTTACTATATCCTATGTATAGGCAGGACACAAATGAATTAAAACGAGTTTTCGATAGTGCAATTTCTTTATTTGGTACGCCTAAGCTCATAGTGTGCGACCGTGGTCGAATGTTTGACGCGTCAGCCTTCACCAGTTGGGTGTCTGAAATGGGCTGTGATATTCATTACGTAACGCCCGAAATGCATCATTCAAACGGGCAAGCCGAGCGTTATGTAAGAACTGTTCTTAATTTGCTTCGAATAGAGAGTAACAATAAAGCTTCAACTTGGTCTAATGCTTTGGGTAAGGTTCAGTTAGTTTTGAATGTAACTAAACAAAAAACCACACAATATTCTGCTTTGTATTTGTTAATCGGTACTCATGCGGCCACTCCTGTCATCCGTGCACTGGTCCGCGATGTTGCCATCGATAACTCAAGCCCCAATCGTGAAGCCTTGAGGGAACTCAGCAGAAGCTCAGCCAAGGCGTCGCTCGATAGAAATCGAGACAGACAAAATGCTCGGGTAAATCGTCGAAGACACCCGCCCAAGCGATTCCAGGTCAACGATCAAGTATTTGTAATCAAATACACACAGTCAACTGGGAAACTTGATCCCGGTATGAGAGGACCTTACCGTGTTATCAAGGTGTTACCTAGTGACCGCTACGAGCTGAGGTTACTAAGCGGATCCAGGGGCAAGAGAACTCAGGCCGCGGCTCAGTATATGATCCCTTGGAAAGGCGAATGGTGTCCTGAGAGTTGTGCCGCATTTTTCGAAAGTAAGTTTCAACCCTGTTACTAATGTGTTTTTTATTTCCTTATGTTAAGGATGCGCGCGTGATATGTTGGCTTGCGTGCGAGTGTGAGGCAAGTGTGTGCCTTGCTGGTTGAAACGGACTGCCAATGTGGTGCGGTCATGGTGTGTTCCTGGGGCCAGCAACCTTGAGAAGCGGGCCTCGGCAGACGCGCATCCTGTGCGCGTGACGGGCGCTGTCCCGGAAGATGTGTTCTTTGGATACATATCAGGCGCAGTCCTGGTAGCCTTAGTGCTGGTGCTCTTTGAGAGTGTTACGGGCGCTGTCCCGGAATATGTGTTCTTTGAATGCATATCAGGCGCAGTCCTGGCAGCCTTAGTGCTGGTACTCTTTGAGAGTGATACGGGCGCTGTCCCGGGTGGTGTGTTCTTTGAACACACTTCAGGCGCAGTCCTGGTTCACGTTGCTAACGTGGGAACTTGTACAAGTTCAAGTATGAGAATGTGTGAGATGTTTTGTGAAATGATGTATGCATACTTTTGAAAGCGAAGTGTTTTAGCTAAAGTTGTGGAAGTGTTATTTTGTATGAGGGCCTTGGATGCGTGATGAATGACAGACTAGGCACTAACGAAATGTCGTCGTGATTAACTAACAGGATAACTGTTGCACAGATTGCGATGACGAATACCCCGATGACGTTGGTGAGCCTTCAGCTGCGTGTACTGATCCTTCTGCTTCCTCAAGAACACACGAACCACATATGAGTGAACATGGCGAGCAAGATGCCGCCGTGCCTTCCACCAGTTCTCCCGAAGAAGAGATCAACAGTGCATCCGAGGACGGTGCACGGTCAGGAGAGGCCGTATAAGCAGAAATCGCAGTAGGTGGTTTCGATTCCCACCCGCCTTCTATAAAAGCAACGCCTCAGTGCGCGACGGGCTCTGTTTTGGCTCGGGCTCGTTAAGAAAGGTGGGTGGTTTCGAGGCCGCTTACTGTGAGTTCGTTCTGTTGTTTTTATTTGATGGTTTTGGTTTGTGTAATTATTTTAAGGTTAACGGTTGTGTTTTTAAAATACTCGTGTCGTTTTAGTTGTGTAAGATTAATTTTAAGGTAGATTTAGTGTTATTCAGAATAATATACAGTGTTTGTTCCTTAAATAAAGTTAGTTTTAGTTAAAACACTTTTTTAGATTATTTCGAATTGTTTTTTTTTTATTTGACTATTACTTCTGGTTGCTAAAAATACCATTCGATAGAACACGTTGCAAAGTACATTAATATATATACTTAACTAAACATAAATTAGATTTCTGCTTGTAATAACGGTAATAGTAACGCTTATTTGTAACAAAATTTTCTTCTTATTAGATTAACACCAATAAGGAGATAACTAACCCTTATTAATACCATTTGTACCATTTCAAACCATTATTTAAATATCGACCCAAGCCAAACATGTTTGGCATGAGAACCCCAACTAAAAATAAAAATAAGCTATCGCCATCCACAAGCGCGACGGATAAAGAGACCGAGGCAGAGTTGCCCTCTGTACGAGAGCCTGCCCCGACTCCGGTTAACGAAGCGCAGATAAGTATGGGGGAGAAGGAAGCCACCATGTCGCAAACAGAAGGTAAGAAAATCACAAATAAAGTATACAGATCCCGAATAACGGAGGCTGCGGCTCTACAACAGAGAGTAAAGGAACGGCAACGGACTTTTGGTTTAAAAATAATTTATTTAAATCAACAGAGTGACAGCACTTAATTAAGAACTAAACAATAATCAACTTAATATCTATTTCTTCGTGCATTTATACATTCAGATTTACTTACTAAGTATTGGTCGTTGCTGACGCACGACCTACATTCGGCTTAGTGCTAGCAAAGCATATATTAATAGGGTTGGTACTCTTAACTCCTCCCTCCCTAATAGAGAAATTATCCGAAGGGGCTAAAGGTGACTTCGGAAAATTTCTTTTATTGCAAATAGAATACAATTTAAACTTTAATATTATAACAATTACTATTATTACTACTATAAAATAAAGAACTAATGTCCATACACTTATGTTATGTGTCACCACACTTTCCACCACTATTTCACTATTGCTATTTCTCACATTATTTAACATTTCTTTTACGTCACTGAAGTCCACGTTTGTCAAATCTAACTTTTTATCTGCCGTTGCTAAATCTTCCTGAAGTTCGGGAATCACCACCGGTGGCATCTGTATATTCACATCCGATACATTGCTTGATTGACCGAAGATTGTTCTACCAATTTGCATGTTGCACCCTTGACTTGGCGTCACGATGTAAGTCCCCAGTAAACTGAATCGTCGGACGTCGTTTCTGCAGTGTTCCGACAAAATTATCTTATCTGCTGTGAATATCAACCAGCTATTGTTCATTATCTTCTGGATTTTTAGCTTCTCAATTCGTATTTGATGTTGATGACATAGGCTGTAATTATTCTTTATTAACATTAATTCCTCGATACATGTTTCCTCATTGTCTGTTGCCATATTTTCTTCTGAACATAAGTATTTGTTGTCTTCTATGCTCTCGCAAGGGCTCAACACATTTCTGTATTTCAAACCATTCACCAATAGGTAAGGATATTTAGGAATAATTGTGTAAGTTTTAGAGGATTTTGTTATAGGAATAGGAGTAACCTTGTAATAGTTATACGTTTCTGATTCTATCAAAGGAATTTCTAATACAAATACTAATTTATTCTTATCAATATAAGACTTTAATATAATATTACGTTCTAATTTAAGTAAGTTGTTTTTTGTTACTGGATAAATTGTTTGTGCATGTTTTTCTATCACTTTAAAAACACCTAATAACTCTGTAGAATTAATAATAGATTGGTGTAAGGTGTGCAATTTACTAAATGCAATAGCAGTTTCAATTTCTTGTATGCTCTCATAAATGTAACGAAAGTTATGTAGAATCTGGTATTTAACTGTAATTCTACTATTCTATTTAGTTATATATATCTATGCATATTTAATTCTAATTCTTCCTTAATAATATTATTATCCACTTATCATATGAAATAAGGGCGGTTTCTTCTCTGAGAGGGAGAACGCCTGGATTCTTCGCAACCTTTACCTACGAGGACTAACCTGTGGGGGACGTTTTATGTCCTTAAAGAATGATCGATGCGCTTTGTTGTCGTAATAAATGAAATAATATTTAATTTTAGGTTTAATATATTCTTTGAGGAATTCCGAATTATTTAATGGTAAGTATATTTCTGAAATATTTTGTTTTGGATGAGATTTTATTTTAACAAAGAGTTCATTTTTATACCATGTATGTGTTAAAAATAGTTTAGGTTTAGTATTTATGGCTTCTCTGAGGATAGGAACACTTTTTGTAGTCATATCATCTGCGGAATGTACTGTGTCTGTACTAGAGTTACTTGTTAGTGTACGAGATGATGACCGGGAATTAATTCGAGATGGAATATCACGTTCATCTATACGACCAGTTGTTTCAGACCTAGATGCTTCAGAGAAAGACATAGAATTACTATTTTCATTTTCTACATTAACTACCATTGATTGGTTATCTTTATCGGTTTTTCCTAGTGCATTTAATTTTGGAATAATTATATGAGGTAAATTTAGTTTTGTATAATTTATTTTTATCTTTTCGGTATTGTTGAGGCTATCATAAAAAAAATTCCTATTTGTTCATGGTTCGAACTAGTCGGGTTCGATTCACAGTTATAAGAACAAGATGGTTGAATATTATTATCAGTATCAGTGTAATTAACGCGTCTTGAACTGGCTGTTCTCATCGTAATATCGGTATTAGAGGTCGATGGCATAGGCGATTCTTGGTATTGTAATCCATTGTTTGTAAAATGCCGACGCCGCTGCTGTGACGACTGTTTTACTGGTGACCTAAATACCGTGTTATAATTGTTGCGATTATTTAATGTTTTATCATTTCTAAATTGGAAAGAATTATTATTTAAATTATTTGAACTATTTGAATTATTTTGATAATTAGATGCATTCGAGTTCCTTTGGACGTTATGGGTTGGAGAATTAAAATTATTAACTTGTCTCGAATGAGAATTCCTATTTTGAAATGAATTAAAATTATTATAATTAGGTCTAAAATTTTGATTGGACCTTGGGTTCTTACTATCATAAACCGTTTGAAAATTTTGTTCTTCCAACACGGTTTTTAAAGCATCTTCCAGCGTGGTAACATTACGTAATCTCACTAATCTTACAAGGTACGCTGGTAAATTAAATAAGAAAACGTTTAATGCCGAATTATTATATATCGCTTGTTTGGCCTGTCTTATGTCGGGGTTGTTAATGGTTTCATTTATTTTGGAGAATAAAATACTCCTTAAATGTTGGACACGATGACAGAAATCTAAATGACTTTCGTTCTTATCCTTTTTTAGGGAATCTAATTCCATAGCCAGACAATCTTCTGACCTTGGATCGCCAAAGTGTTGGCTTAATAATAACTTAAGGTTATCCCAAGTATCTATTTGTTCCCGTTCCCCAACTAGACTTGCGGCTTCCCCGGATAATCGACTAGTAATTACGTGAAACAGATATTCATTTTGTAAATTGCCACCTTGAAATGTCTGTAAAATATATTCGCATTTTTTAATGAATAATGGTAATAATCTAGAATCACCATCAAAAACAGGAATAATTTTTACCATCTCTACAGGTACTCTTACAATATTTTCCATTTTGAATATTAAAAAAAATTACCTATAAAATAATTGTATAAACCTAACTTCTATTAACAATATTTTGATTGTTTAATAAAAATATTTTTCCGGCGTTTTCCAATCCGAAATAAACGTATAACTAATACAAGAGGAAAACAAGGAAAGTCACGGGAAGTGAAAAGTTTTACTCACAGTCCTGTTATCTTGACCATGCTCCTCCGGGATACTGCTAGTTCTTGGCTGCTCTTCCACCGATGCCGTGCTGTCCTTAACTTATTTATTTGTTCGGCGATCTCCGTTAAAACGTTAAAACGTACGTTACCCGGTTGGTACTAGATCACGAAAAAAAACGCGGTATAACTTCTTCCAGGCAACTATGGAGATCCTACCGGCTGCGCCAGTAAAGGAACGGCAACGGACTTTTGGTTTAAAAATAATTTATTTAAATCAACAGAGTGACAGCACTTAATTAAGAACTAAACAATAATCAACTTAATATCTATTTCTTCGTGCATTTATACATTCAGATTTACTTACTAAGTATTGGTCGTTGCTGACGCACGACCTACATTCGGCTTAGTGCTAGCAAAGCATATATTAATAGGGTTGGTACTCTTAACTCGCTCGTACAGCTGAATGCAGCGAAGAATCTAAAAGGAGAAATCAAAATCGCGGTAACGACCGCAGTGAAAAGGCTGTACGTGCTAGTAAGGGACGGAGAAATCCAAACTAAAAGCAAGAGGGAGGATCAGCCGACCAAAGACACGAACAAAGCGGAAGCCAAGGAAGGGGAATTGGAATTGGACAAAAGAATAGAGAAACTGGAGACAATTAGCAAAAGCTTTGAAAAAATGGTTACAGAAAGTGAAGAGAGAGTTATGGCAAAGTTGGGGGAAATCAGAAGTTATGCTGAAGTAGCAGCAGTAGCAAGGACTGAGCCTAGGAATGACTGTGCCAGAACTGTAAGCAATGACCGAAGGGAAACTGGACTGTATTCCTTGTTGAGCCCGGGGAAGAAACCGAAGCTGCTGAGGATACAGTCCAAAAAATTAGATGCTCTCTTAATGCAAGAGACAATGGATTCAAAATTGAAAAACTCCAAAAGATAAAGGGAGGTAAGGTGGTCATTGGTTGCGGAACTGAGGAGGAACGAAAAAGGGTGAGGGAAAGAATAACGCATGAAGATAACGGACTCACAGTCAAGGAGCTTAACAACAAAAACCCTCTGGTGTGATTTAAAGATATACTAAAGTATAACACCCTCGATGACATAAAGAAAGCCCTTAAAACCCAGATTAAGGCAACGACTGGAAACCTAACCGGTGAGGACTGGGTGATGACGGAAAAGCACCGCCAAAACGCTAGGAACACGCACGAGTGCCACGTCATCGTGCAGGTCTCTCCGGGGATGTGGAAGGCGCTGACCCAGGCGCAGAAGGTACACATTGACCTCCAGAGGGTTTGGGTGGAGGATCGGTCCCCCCTTGTACAGTGCTCCAAGTGTCTCGGATACGGACACACGAGGAAGCACTGCCAAGGGGAAAAACTGACCTGCTCCCAGTGCACAGGAGAGCACCTTAGGGCTGACTGTCCAAACAAAGAGAAGACACCAGAATGTGCAAACTGCAGAAGAGCAGGAATTGACAACGTATACCACAGCGCGCTTAGTACTGAATGCCCAGTGCGCAGGAAGTGGGATGTGGCATACTGCTAAAGTTCTCCCAAGCGAAATCAAAGTTATGCAAGCGAACGTGCAGAGATCTGCACTCGCCACGGAGGAGCTAATTATTGAAGCCAAAAAACAGCGTATCTCCATCTTGCTCGTACAAGAACCCTACATCGGAGCGGTAAGAAGAATGAAGGACTACACGGGCACAAGAGTCTACCAACACACCGGATATGGCAATCATACCAAAGCGGCTATTGTCGTACTAGACAACAACATACATATCACACAACACCCCGAGCTATCCAGCCCGAATATGATTGCCATATCTGTAGACACAGAAAGAGGAAAGCTTAACCTTGTCTCGATTTACTTCGAACCGCATCCGAACCCCCTAAGTCCGCACCTCCAGACATTAAAACAAGTCATCGAAAAATTAGGACGGAGAACTATAGTGGGAGGGGACATAAATGCAAGAAACGTCTGCTGGGGGGATAGAATAACGAACGAGAGGGGAGAAGAGGCAGAAGCGACCTTCCATAGCGCCGGATTAGAAATCTTAAACCAGGGCGGGACGCCAACGTTTAACACTACCAGAGGGAACACAATATACACTAGTTGCGTCGACGTCACAGTAGCTACACCTGACCTCCTCGGTCTCATTGTAGACTGGAGGGTGGACCAGAGTGTGACCAGTTCAGATCATAATGCCATACAGTTTGAGATCACCTCATGGATCAAAATGGACGATGGACACGCGAGATCAACTAGAGTATACAATGTTCGGAAAGCAAATTGGACCCACTTTCGTGCGAAATTTAAACAGTTGCTTTCTGAACACGAACTCACACCACAACACCCTAGACTCCACTACTCTCCTAGGAAACACCATAGTTCAATACACACAGTTAATCACAGACACTTGCGACACACACATTCCAAAAATTAAAGTACAGAGAAAACACACAACCCCCCTGGTGGACAGAAGAGCTAATCCAAATGAAGAAAAACGTCCTAAAAATGAGGAGGAAAATCCGATACTGCTCTGCTATCTACTGTTATAGAGAGATACAGCGAGACGAAGCAGAAATATCTGGAAGCAGTAAATAAGAGCAAGTTGGAAAGCTGGAAGAGCTTCTGCGAGAAACAAGATGGAGAAAGCTTGTGGGACGGTATTTACAGGGTAATCAGGAGAACGAATGTTAAGAATACGGATCAACAACTCGTCAAGGACGGCGTGACTCTCTCCTACCAGGACTCGGCGCACTATCTGGCGGAGACCTTTTTTCCGGAAGATACGAGCGCACGGGAAACCTTCTGGCACACAGAATTACGTAGAAAGGCCAAAATGATAGAAGAATCGGACCATGATGACACTCATGACCTGCCTTTTACGCGGAAAGAACTCGCGGAGTGTGCCAGGAGTTTTAACCCCAAAAAAGCCCCTGGAGGGGATGGGTTAACGTCAGACATCTGCGGTGAGGCGATATTCGCGGACCCAGCCGTTTTCCTGGCATTGGCTAATAGATGCCTCGACTTAGGATATTTCCCCAGGATCTGTAAGAAGGCCACGGTAATTATCCTTAAAAAACCAGGGAAGGAAAATTACAGTCAACCCAAATCATACCGACCAATCGGACTTTTACCGGTATTAGGCAAAATAACTGAGAAAATGATGGTGAAAAGACTGAACTGGCACCTGGTCCCCCGATTCTCCCTCAAGCAATACGGATTCATGCCGCAGCGTGGTACCGAGGACGCCCTCTATGCCTTGATGGAAAAAAATCAAGTCAGGCCTAAATAACAAAAAAGTAATAACGTTAATATCACTAGACATAGAGGGCGCCTTCGACAACGCCTGGTGGCCGGCCATTTGTGTGAGATTAACTGAAGAGCGATGTCCACCAAACCTAGCGCTACTAGTACGAAATTATCTCAGCGACAGGGAGGTTCGCGTCGTTTACGGAGGGGCTGTAGCGACAAAACCAACCAACAAAGGCTGCGTACAGGGATCTATCAGCGGACCCACGCTGTGGAATCTGCTGCTGGACCCACTACTACAAACACTAGAGAGAGTCGATGTGTACGCGCAGGCCTTCGCGGATGACGTGGTCCTCCTGTTCGAGTCTAACACGGCACTGGAAACTGAAAAATTGGCGAACGATGCACTCGCACAGATCTGGGAGTGGGGGCACAGAAACAAATTAAGTTTTGCCCCCGCGAAAACCAAAGCAATGCTCATCACAAATAGACTAATATACGACACACCACGACTTAACATGGGCGGCACACTAATACATATGTCGGACAGTGTGAAGATTTTGGGCTTGACGATAGACCGTAAAATCACCTTCAGCGATCATGTCAGCGCAGCCTGCAATAAAGCCATTGGCCTATACAAACAGGTATCAAAGGCAGCTAGGGTGAGCTGGGGCCTCAGCCCGGAAATCATCAAAATTATATATACGGCTGTCGAGCCCATTGTCCTCTACGCGGCTAGTGCATGCTGCATGCATGCGGCGGATAAAGCTTATATAATAAAAAGATTAGACACGGTGCAAAGAAGCTTTGCCATCAAAATTTGTAGGGCGTACAGAACAACTCCACTCAGCTCCCCTCAGAGTACTGGCAGGCTTGCTCCCCCTAGACCTGAGAGCACACGAAAACAAAGCCTTATACCAAATAAAAAAGGGGCATATGGCCTGCGAACACTTGAAGGGAGCCGAGGTGGAAACGAAAACACCTTTCTACAAAAGTCCCCACCCGGCAAAGGCAGCATTGGAGTATGTTATCCTGTCCTATGAGGAACTGACAATAAATAGAGATAGTTTACAAATATATACAGACGGTAGCAAGACGCAAGAAGGGGTGGGAGCTGCGATCTCCCTTTGGAAAGGAGACAAGGAAATAAAGAGCCAAAAGCTGCATTTGGCACATTATTGCACCGTGTACCAAGCAGAACTGGTGGCGCTACAAAGAGCGGCGCAACAAGCGGTGCAGCGGAAGGAGACCGAAGTCCTCATTTACAGTGACTCAAGGTCTGCATTGGATGCAGTTGCGGGGGGACGCTCTTTCGACCCCTTGGTCACCGAGATTCGCGAGCTTCTTACCCAATACCCAGAGAAGAATGTCAAACTTTTCTGTGTTAAAGCACACGCGGGGAGAAGGGGGAACGAAAGAGCAGACCAGTTGGCCAAAGAAGCCACTAACGCAAAGCGGAGGCCGGTCTACGACCTCTGCCCGATATCATATGTTAAAAAATTAATACGCGCAAGCACGGTGCAGAAGTGGGTCATGAGACAGTCCAAAGAAACAACGGGGGCGACAACAAGGATGTTCTTGCCCGACCCAGAAGCTGCGTACAAAAAGGATTTAATCCTATAATGACCCAAATTTTAACAGGGCATGGAGCCTTCGCGGAATACCTCCACCGTTTTAAAATAAAACCGAGTCCCGCATGCGAATGCGACGAAAACGCGTTACAAACGGTGGAGCACCTCCTAGTGGAGTGCCCCATATTCGCCATGCAAAGGCACGACCTGGAGCAGGCCGCGGGAATGCGGATGGCACGCAATGTGCTGCCCGACATCCTTGCGGGGCACAGATCGGCGCTGGAAAATTTTTGCAAGCGGATTCTTGACCGGACGAGAGTATTTAATGGCGCCCAAACTGTTGATAAACAAAAATAATATATAAAGATACAACAAAAATGTAAAAAACACTGAACTCAAAATATGTAAATAATACAAAACAACCAAAATATAAAACTGTAATTAAATAGAAGTATTATCAAAAAGTAAACTCTGAAACAAATGTAAAATTATATTGTGCACAAACCATTCATATGTAAACCATAGAATGAATGTAAAAACATGAATATAAGTGTTAGAAAAGTAAGAATTAAAATAAGGCAAACCAATAAACGTAAAATGTTAAGTAAAAATAAACGTATAAAATTAATATGTAAGAAACAAAATGTATAATCAATAACATGTTAGTATAACTAATATGTAAACCATAGAATGAATGTAAATCTATGAATATAAGCGAATAAGAAATTTAAGAATTAAATTAAAGTAAACTAAGAAGTATAAATGTCAAATAAAAATAATGTATATGACTAATATGCAAGAAACAAAATGCAAAATGAATAACATGTAAGAATAACTAAAATGTTATCCATAGAATGAATGTAAATCTATGAATATTAGAAATTTAAGATTTAAAATAAAGAAAACTAAAAAATGTCAAATGTTAAGTAAAAATAATGTATAAGACTACCATGTAAGAAACAAAATGTAAAATGAATAACATGTAAGAATAACAAATATGTAAATGAATGTAATGTTTGATGAATAAATAAAGCTAAAAAGGTCCTTGATAGGCAAATGTCGAGGGGTGGGTTCGCAGCTCCACGGCCCCGGAGCAGTCGCTGCCGGGGAGGTAGGCCAAGTAGGCAGGGGCATTTCGTACGTTTTCAATTTATGTACGTTTTCAATTTATGTACGTTTTTAAGTTATGTATCAGTAGATGCGCGCTTTTGCGATCTATCTAACAGTGTTAAAATCAGTTTAAAAAGTTTTAGTTTTATATTTAATTTCTATAAAAAACAATAAAATTTTCGGTTTTTTGGTTTTTAAAAATACTTAAAGTTTTCAAAAAACGTTAAAGTTTTGTTTTGTTGGTGTTGGGTGATAGAGTGGAACGAGCTGGACATTTCGACCCAAATTTGGTCGATAAGGGTCCACAACTAAGGATTACATGGACAAAACCGTGGATAAAGGTCAATAACTTTTTAATTAAATCTGTGACATAGTGGTTTTATTGCTTTAATAGATAGTCCTAATCTATCGTTCTATCTATCGTCGTCTAGGGCTATCGTTTGATACTAAAATTATAATTTTGGGCCCAAGAACAATCGGATCAGAAATATCCTCTCGAACCGAAGGAAAACCGTTTTTGGTGGTTAATCAGCCCCAAACCAAATCCACAATATTTTGTTTTACATAATACAGACAAGCCAATAATTATTAAGCAACTGACATAAAGATAATAAGAATCGGAACCATAGTTAACAAGTTAAGACCAGAAACAGATTGGAAACGAGGATATCCAGAGGATCCAGACCACCTAAAATTCCAACCATCGGATAGCCCGTCAAAAACACCACCAGACAACTTATATTTTATTCACAAGAATTTTCCATCCACTGAGCTGGACACCAGATTGTCTGGTGACCAGCTGGAACAGCTCCAGTACCAAAATCACCGGATAGTTCTCTACGAGGGCAAACAGAAAACAGCAAACAACTCTACCCTTCGAGCAACAGCTGCTGAGCAATCCTGCTCCTAAATTCAAGTTAGGGTGCATTACCAGCCCCATATTTATCGATTTTTAATATTTTTCCATTTTTAACCTAAACCCACCGAGCTTGGGCTCATCTAAACCAACTCGGCGAGGCGATCTCAATAGAGCCCATAGTTTCCCTCATAAACCCCCCCCATTTTCTATTAAATACGTCCCCCCCCCCCAGCGCCAAATCTCCCCTACCCCCTCGAGTTGGGTATCAAACAACTCAGCTTGAAGAGGCGAATTCACTTGTGATTACAGCCCCCCCTCACCCCCCTCTGCAGACATGTTACCCAGAACCCCTCCCAAATTACCCAAACCTGACACTCCGTCACCTCAGACGACCACAGCAGCTGCCAGGCGGTCCCTAGTGGACACCCTGAGCCCGTCCTTCGCCCGCTCAGCTCATAAACCCCTCACGCCACAGGCCACTAATACGACAGCTACACCATCTAATGACACACAGCAACAACTGCTACACAAACTCGAGGCCCACTCTCGGTTACTCGAGCAATCTAATAAGGCCCTGCAGGAACACACCAGGGTCCTAAAGGCATGTCCTAAATCCGCACCGACGGGGTTAATGCCAGTGGCGGAGGACCCGCATAGGATCTATCAATCTTACGCCAAGGCCGCCGCTACCCCCAAACCCCCTGCAGGCCCTTCCGTCGTAGTGTCCGGAGAGGGTCTCAATACAGCGGAGCAGATAATTGCACAGATAACAAAAACAGTTAACTTCCGACAGGGCGGATATGCCCCTTTAAAGGTAACTCCGCTCTCCAAAAATAAAATCAAACTCGTCTTTGAAAAAGACTAGCATAAAATCATGCAGTTACACAATTACAAAAAAACGCAAACATCAAAACACAAGAAGAAAAACGGATTGATCCAATGATCATAATCAAAGGAATCAAGAAAATAACACCTGAAATTGAACTCGAAAAAACCATTAAAGATCAGAACCCGACCCTCATCGACCACACATTCAGCATCAAATTTATAGCCCAAAACAGACACGCAACACTGTATAACGCAGTACTTAACACCACACCCTCTGCCTGGAAGGCATTTGCCGACCTAGGCAGGGTAAACATAGGGATGCAGCGCGTCCATTGCAGCAACTTTTCACCGTTTAAGGCAGTGTCAAAACTGCCTAAACTTCGGCCATACCAAGAGCCGCTGCCCTGCAACCACACCAACATGCGCCAAGTGCTCTGCTCACCATCCCATCACAGAGTGCAAGGCGCAAACACACAAGTGTGTCAATTGCAATGAGCATAATGCTCAATACAAAACAAACACCGACACCCAACACCGCGCCGACTCTGAAAACTGCCCCAAAGTTAAAGCTATGCGTGCCCGCGTTGAGGCCAAGGTCAATTACATTTAAACATGCACAAAAATATTAAACTCATACAGGCGAACCTAGACCGGTCTCGCAACGCTACACAAGAACTAAAACACCACTTCATCACAAATAAACTCGACATAGCCATACTATCCGAACCATACACAAACAACAACACAGTTAAAAATATTGCGTCGGTTTACGTTGAACCGAAAACCGACACCAACAACACCCTAGGTATACTAGATACATTCACAAAATCCCACATTAACTCAAACATCGTGATTGGCGGCGCCTTCAACGCGTGGCACCAACTCTGGGGCAGCCCCCGAAGTAACACTCGGGGACTATACTTAACCGATATCATTAACTCTAACGATCTACACATAAACAACACAGGCAACACACCCACATTCGAAACAATAACACACGGAACGGAGAGGTCATCTATCATCGACCTCACGCTCTCATCCATACACACATATCAACACATACACAAATGGGAAGTTAAACAGCGTTTATTCCCATCGACACAACACAAACGGATCCTATACCACACGCCACAAATAATAGCACATTTAAATACAACACCAGCAAGGCAAATTGGCACACGTTTAAAGAAATACTCCACACATTAATAACTTAACAACATACGCTCAAAACATATATAGCTCATAAATATATTATTAACACTAACACCACAACAGTTAGACGAGTTTGTTCTATCCCTCACTGACACAATAAATAACGCTTGCTTGGAATCTTTCGCAATCAAAACAGGATTGAGAAAGCCTCAAGCACCCTGGTGGAGTGAAAACCTCGAACACCTGAAAAATAAATGCATTAGCCTACACCACAAAATACACACACACTCAAAACACAAGCGTACACCTCCTACAGACCTAATAAACACGTACCACGAGACAAAACTCGTATACACACAGACACTTAGGAAAGCATCTACAGACCATTTTAGACTATTCTGCAACGCACAAGGCGCAGAAGACGTCTGGTCTGTAACCAACAGACTACTCAAATCAAACAACTCCATTCAACCCCGCACCCTTAAGGTAAACAACAAATACACAAGCAATGAGGAGGAGACATCACAGGCACTACTCACACATTTTTACCCCGACGACGTTCCGGATACAGACACACGAACATGCGCAACAACTCCAGTCTACTACCCGACACAGAGGACGACCCTCCGTTCACCTCTTCTGAAATAATCTCAGCGATCGAATCCATCCGACATACCAAAGCCCCAGGCAAGGACCACCTCACTAGTGACATCTGCCTGGTCTTGCTCAAAATTACCCCGAACTAATAACCAACGTAATGAACCGCTGCCTACAACTTTCACACTTTCCAACCATGTGGAAAGAGGCGATAGTCAGGGTTATACCAAAACCTAATAAACCTGACTATACCAATCTTAGCTCATTCAGACCCTAATCCCTGTGTTCGGAAAAGTACTGGAGAAACTATTCACCAAACGCCTCACATATAATGCGCACAAGCTTAAGCTACTGAACCGAGCACAATTCGGCTTCACCGAACAAACAAGCACTATACACGCCGTACAGAACACTTTAGACATATACAACACAAACAACACAAACAACACACTATAGCCGTATCCCTCGATATCAAAGCCGCCTTCGATAACGCTTGGTGGCCGGCG